CATCTCGTAAACCCACAAAGATACGTCGAGATGAATAGAACTCGTACACGTGCACAGGGCTACGTCGAGATACTTTAAAGGCGGTGCAGCAACCCAAACCACGAACCCACAAAGCAGCCGACTGGAGGCTGCGTCCCTTCAACGGAGGAGGAGGAACAGCGACACGAACTCTCTTTCTCTCTCTGCTGAAACCTTCTCGTCGTGACCAGCAGCAGCAGGACGTTGGCAACGAGCCTCCTGAACATCTTCCTGCCCACCTCCGGTTGACACAGTTGGCTACGCACGGTGCGAAAGAATAAAAATGATGCCAATGATAGTGTTATTGTAATTATTGGGTGGAGTGGCGGTGCAGTTTTCGGACACAAAAGGTGAGCGCGGTGAATTCCATCATTAGCCAAGTTTTGCTATTGTTTAACTATGCAACGGAGAGCTCAAGAAAGCTAAGAACCAGACAGGTGACACACGTCTTCTTGGTTCTTTCGGTAAAGTCACGTAGAAGGGAAATAATAAAATAATAAAACATAATAAAATAAAATTCTAACGACGTTTCGGCCACAACGCAAGCAGCCGTCCTCCGGTGAAGAGCAGGTCTGTCGGAAAACAGCGTCTGAATGACGTCCGAATGACGCTGTCTTTCCGACAGACCTGTTCTTCACCTGAGGACGGCTGCTTGCGTTGTGGCCGAAACGTCGTGAGAATTGCATCTTATTATGTTTAATTTTTATTATTTCATTATTTCCCTTCTACGTGACTTTACCAAAGGAACCAAGAAGATGAATCCCTGCAGTCACGAAAGCTTTAAATCGGGTTACACGCCGTGCAGCTCACCACCTGCACTCTGCAGGAAGTCGCCTGCAGGGTGCAGCTGGTGACCTGCACGCTGCACGGGCGTGGCGACGGTGATCGCTGCTGTCTGTACGACCCCAAAATGAGTCACGTGCGGAAATTTTTTGTTGTTTTTTATTTCGCAAATATGGCCCCACCGACGGCCGTCACACAGTGGCCCACGCTGCGTCTGCTACAGGGGGGGAGGGTCTGGGGGTGATGGGGGGGATGGACACACTCTTCGTCTGTCTGCCACGTGGGGGTCACGATAACGCTCGCCAATGTCACCCAATAGGCACGAGACTTTTGGTAATCGCGTGGCGCGACTCCTGCGGACTCACCCGAGAGGGAAGATCCGCGCGCGTTCGTCAAAGGGTTTGCCCGACATTTGGAGACGCGAAGCAGAGCACTATTTGCAAATTATAATTATAATAATAATCATTCAAACTCATAAGGAGGAGGAACCACCGAGAACGAGGAGCGGGAAGGCAGCAGCAGCAGCCAGGCCGTGAGCCTGCGTAGAAAAATTATCTCCCAAGCTCTGCGGTCCTCTGTGTACCAAGGCGTTTTCGGTCATTTAATAAGGACTCCCAAAGCAACCACACGCGTGCTAGAGGGCAACACTCGTATCACGCGCAGATGGAACAGGCGGAGTCCACGTTTTGTGTTGCTGTTGTGCTGTTGTTGTTGCTGTTGTTGTTGCTGTTGTTGTTGTTGCTATTGTTGTTGCTGTTGTTGTTGCTGTTGTTGTTGCTGTACCGCCTTCTCCTGGCGAGCCAGGATACAGCACCACCGCCTTATCAACGCCACATGCACGGGTAAGGGAGTTTCGCAGCATCAACATCTGTGTGTGGGGGGCGGTGGTGCAGCGGTTAGCGCGCTGCGCTACGAACCCAGTGACCCGAGTTGGATTCCCGCTCACGACCAACACCGGTGACGGTTTTCTGAACCGGTTCAGGGCCTCCCGTAGGTCGGCTCGGCCTCAAATGAGTACCCGGTGCGGTGCGTAAACATCTAGGGAGACAAAGGCGGCCGGGCGTGGTGCTGGCTACCCCTACCCCACCGTGTGCCGTGTCGGCCTTCGTAGGTGCTCGCTAACAGCACTTGCCCCAACAGTCTCTTAAGGCTACACGGGGGATCTTTGTCTTTGTGGTCCACCAACCCTTGACGTTTCTCCCACAGCGCTGGATCACAGGCAGGTCACGTGGAGCAGCAGCAGCGTAGCCACCACCACCCCCACCACCACCCCCACCACCCCCACCGCCACCACCCCCACCGCCACCACCCCCACCGCCACCACTCCCACCGCCACCACTCCCACCGCCACCCCCACCGCCACCCCCACCACCACCACCCCCACCACCACCACCGCCACCACCCCCACCGCCACCACCACCACCACCCCCACCACCACCAACGTGGTGTGCATCTGTGTCATTCCTTCACGTGAAGTCCTGGTCACAAAAGCAAAGTTTGTGGGGAATAACAGCCACTTTTTATACTTTTGAGGCATAAGCAATTAGAAAGTAACACTTACTACCCAGGAACAAAAACCGTGTTACACAGTGATCGTGTTCCACCAGTGTAGTCACGGACTTCCCGATGTAACAGGACGTAGTATACCCCCAGGCCGTCGTATACCCGGGGTTAAAACGGCCTAGGCTAGATTATACCCCTCTAGGCCAAATCATACCCCCATGATAGTAAGTGTTGAGCGATATACACGTGAATTACTACATTTTTCGAACATTTTATTTAAAACTGTAAACACATAGACTTTGATTGCTTCAACCAGAAAAACTTTAATAATAATAATAACCCTAACCCTATCCCTAACCCTATCCCTAACCCTATCCCTAACCCTATCCCTAACCCTATCCCTAACCCTAAAAATGCTTCAATTGATCAAATTGAGATTCATACTTCCATGTAAACGCTTTTTAGATATCGATTGAAGTTCGTTTGAACTTTCACATGGGGCATATTTTGGCCTGGAGGGGTGGTATGGCCTGGACCAGTCGAGTTTAAAGCCCCGGGGGGTATAGTTTCGCCGAGGACACTTCATCCCCCCGGGAATACTCTTGCCTGGGCCAAACTATACCCGGGTCTGATCGTGGCAGGGGTTAGTTTAGCCTGTTACACCGGGACGAGCTCAGGCGGAGCCGCGCGTTGGACGGAATCGTCACGCAAATCCGTGCGTGCGCACGGTTCTTCTTCCTCGATTGTTTTCTCGAAATTATTTATTTGTCATTTGGTTTCCCGTTCCCCCTCCCCCCACACCTCTTCGTATCCCCAATTCCAGGTGGCGATGACTCATCCGTATGACGTTGGAGGCGTGTGCGCTCAATCACTCAACTCGCGGAAACGTTCAAGGCGATGATTATTATTCATACATCTACAAAAAACAATAGTTTGTTTAATTACTTCGTACAAACTCTAGCCCCCCCCCTCCCCCCGTGTCCCCCCTCCCCCCTCGTCACACACACACACGAGGGCGTTGGTGACTCAGGAGGAGGATTTCGCCGTCAGTCGTTCTTCAGTGACGTCAACCTGTGCGTCGGGTATTTTAATAATAATATACTTTTATATATTTTTTTGCATTATCGTTATGGAAGGCGTTAGTGCACGCAGTGGTGTAGCGAGTAATTTGAAAATAATAATAAAAAAGGGCAAGTCTGTGTGTAAATAAATAAAGAATGCACTCCCCATTGCACCGGCCAGGGTCTCTATAAATACGGGAGGGCGACTGGGAAACGGCGGAGCGGCGGTTTCGAGATGCAGAAGCGTGGTCATTAGTCCGTGTTGGGGGATAATGATTTTAGAATCATCGACTGATTGTTGATTGATTATTGCCGTAGCGTTGTTACAACGGAACAGGGCGGCGGGGACTCGCAAAAAAAGCATTAATAGAGAGCGAGAGAGAGCGAGCGAGAGACGGACGGACGGAGATAAGGGAAATCGAGATACAGACTAAGAAGCAAATAGGTGAAGCGAGACGGAGAAGATGTTCAAACAACCGTAGCGGAGACGGAGAGACACGGAGTTAGGTGATAGGCACAGCGAGAGGCACAGCGAGAGGCACAGAGAGAGGCACAGCTAGAGGCACAGCGAGATCGAGAGGCGGGGAGAGAGACCCGCAAGCGAGGGGAGAGAGACGAGAGAGAAAGAGAGGCAAGGAAGAGGAGGAGGAGCGCATTCGAGACGACCAAGACGGTGAAGAGAAGAGAGGTACGAGCAGTAGCGGAACCGAGAGAGTAGCGGGGGGTGGGGGGTGGTGGTGGTGGTGAGAGAGACCCTCGGAGGAGCGGAGAGACGGGAGAGAGGGCAGCCGAGGAGGAGAGAAGAGCCGGGGGGAACGCCGTCGCGGCCGGGAATCGAGCGCAGGGCGACAGAGGAAGAGAGACAGAGGAAGAGAGACAGAGGGAGAGAGACAGAGGGAGAGAGACAGAGGAAGAGAGACAGAGGAAGAGAGACAGAGGAAGAGAGACAGAGGGAGAGAGACAGAGGGAGAGAGACAGAGGAAGAGAGACAGAGGAAGAGAGACAGAGGAAGAGAGACAGAGGAAGAGAGACAGAGGAAGAGAGACAGAGGAAGAGAGACAGAGGGAGAGAGACAGAGGAAGAGAGACAGAGGGAGAGAGACAGAGGAAGAGAGACAGAGGAAGAGAGACAGAGGAAGAGAGACAGAGGGAGAGAGACAGAGGAAGAGAGACAGAGGAAGAGAGACAGAGGAAGAGAGACAGAGGGAGAGAGACAGAGGGAGAGAGACAGAGGAAGAGACAGAGGAGAGAGACAGAGGAAGAGAGACAGAGGGAGAGAGACAGAGGAAGAGAGACAGAGGGAGAGAGACAGAGGAAGAGAGACAGAGGAAGAGAGACAGAGGAAGAGAGACAGAGGAAGAGAGACAGAGGGAGAGAGACAGAGGAAGAGAGACAGAGGGAGAGAGACAGAGGAAGAGAGACAGAGGGAGAGAGACAGAGGAAGAGAGACAGAGGAAGAGAGACAGAGGAAGAGAGACAGAGGGAGAGAGACAGAGGGAGAGAGACAGAGGGAGAGAGACAGAGGGAGAGAGACAGAGGAAGAGAGACAGAGGAAGAGAGACAGAGGAAGAGAGACAGAGGAAGAGAGACAGAGGAAGAGAGACAGAGGAAGAGAGACAGAGGAAGAGAGACAGAGGAAGAGAGACAGAGGAAGAGAGACAGAGGAAGAGAGACAGAGGAAGAGAGACAGAGACCGAGAGACCGAGAGAGACGAGCGCGCGTGGGGCTGGGAGAGGATGCGCTTGCTGCTGATGGTCGCAGTCTTCACGGTGGTGTCCGCAGTGGGTCGAAGTCGAGCTAATCCCATCGCCGTGCAGGTGAGACGACACTCACGCACCCCGCAAAGACACAAAGGGATTCCCACTCGCGGAGCCTTGACGGACTTTTTTTTGCTGTTCGCGAGCAGCGCCGATGATTGCCGGCACGCAGCGCGAGGGGGCTGCGTGGTCAACACCACGCCCGGCCGCCTTTGTCTTCCCAGCGCTGATGTTTTTGCGCCGCCGCGTTAGGTACTCGCTTTAGGCCGAGTCTACCCGAGGGGGAGGCTCCCGTGATCTGTTCAGATAATTCGTGACCGGTGTTGGTGGCCGTGAGCGGGGATCGAACTCGGGTCGATCGGGTTCAGAGCGCAACGGGTTCATCGCTACACGACCGCTCCGTTGGCACACTGACACACACGCACGCACACACACAGGAACACACACACACAAACATACACAGGAACACAGACACACGCGCACACACACACAGGAATACACAGACACACACAGGAACACACACACAGAAACACACAGGAATACACACACAGGAATATTCACACACACACGCACGCACAGGCGCATCTAGCTTTGTCCAGGTAATGCGACCTCTGCACGGCTCACCTTCCACTTATCGTGCCATCGCCACCATCGACACATATACACACACACATGCGGGTGTGTGTAGGTGTACGCGTGTAGCGGGGAGCGGTGGCGCAGCGGTTAGCGCCACGCCATGCGCTACGAACCCGGCGTCACGAGTTCGATCCCCGCTCACGGCCACCAACACCCGGGGTGACGATTATCCGAACCGGGTCCCGGGCCTCCCCCTAGGTCGACTCGGCCTCAAAAGAGCACCTGGCGCGGTGCGTAGTAGACATCGCCTCTCGCGAGACAAAGGCGGACGGACGTGATGCTGTCCATCATCCCCCGAGGGAGCCGTACCGGCCTTGGTGGGTGCAGTCTGTTGAAGGCAACACGAGGAGCGCGTCGCTCAGTGTGCCTGCTCCTTCCGCGTGTGTCTCTTGTGTGTGGAGACACCTTGTGCGTGCGTAACTTTAATGGGTGCTCGCTATAACAACACTTGCCCCAACCTCCAACATGATGTGAAGGCTACATGGGGGGGGGGGGATCTTTACCCTGCGTACGTGCGCGTTCTCGACTTAGCGGCGTGGAGCATCGCGTGTGTGCTGTCGTGAGCGTGTGTGCTGTCACACACACACACACAGACAGAGATACGTGCACTTGTTAATGATGTAATGTTGAACCGTATGGGTGGGCTAGGTGGGGGGTTACCCGTGATAAGAATTCATTGCCGTGTGAACAAACCGCTGACTCAAGATGCAGGTGACATCACCCGTCAAACCATATCACTTCCTTTTCACACCTCGCACAAGTACCGCAGGTCACACGCACAACACAAAAAATCACCCCCCCCCCCCCACCTCCATATAACAACTACACAGATTGGTGTGACTCGGGGCAAGTGCTGGTTAGCGAGCACCTATTAAGGGAATGTCAGCATCAATAGGGGAGCCTATTAATTCCTCCGCCCGCCCTCTGCAATCGCTGATTGTTTTAACGCACTTAAAGATCGATATTTAAAAGGCGGCACGGTGGCTAGATGTTAACTACCTCGCCTGGTGTACAGGAGGTCGTGGATTAGATCCCGACTCTGACGCCTGCTGCTGTATATTTGGAGTTTGTGTGTCTCTCTCATCATTCATCATCATCACGGTGGCTAGGAGATGTTAACTACCTCGCCTGGTATGCAGGAGGTCGTGGATTAGATCCTGACCCTGACGCCTGCTGCTGTATATTTGGAGTTTGCTTGTCTCTCTCATCATTCATCATAATCACGGTGGCTAGGAGATGTTAACTACCTCGCCTGGTGTACAGGAGGTCGTGGATTCGATCCCGACCCTGACGATGCCTGCTGTATATTTGGAGTTTGCGGTGTGTGTGTCTCTCTCTCTATCTCCCCGTGGTGAGATGTTAACTACCTCGCCTGGTATGCAGGAGGTCGTGGATTAGATCCCGACCCTGACGACGCCTGCTGCTGTATATTTGTAGTTTGCGTCTTTCTCTCTCTCTCTCTCTCTTCCCGTGGTCGCGTGGATTTGTATCCGGCTCCTCCGGGTTTTCCTTCCACATTTAGAATCAACATCACGCGTTTAGAGTTACTTGGCTGATATGAATTCCCACACAATGATACGTCACATCGTTGAGCTCATCGTTTGTGAAAGCCATGTAGCTTCTGAAACAAGAACCACCGTATCTCAGTGGGGCCTTACCTGACAAAATAAAAAAATAAAAAGTTTAATAGTTTTAAAAGGCTGAGTCGACCTAGTGGTGACCCGACACATTCTCGGCCAACACTCATCGCAGCCGGATCCAATATCGATGCAGAGTGGCATCACACCCCCATCCCCCCACTCGTAATTGTCTCATAGTGCTGTTGGTTGCTGATCGCTTGGTGCTGCTGCTGCAGCACCTCCGATTAACACGGTTGGCTACGTACGGCGCGAAAGAAGTTCAACATACGCACGTACATGGCAGTGGCGCACAAACAACAACAACTCACGCAACACTCTCTCGTCAATAGCGCTCTGTGCGTGGCCTTAAACGAAAAAAACATAATCAGCGACGACGTTTCAGGCTATTTCCCTTCTTCAAAAGCACGGCCCGTATGTGCCATGAAGCAGGACCATTGCCTGAAACGTCACCGATTCTATTTGTTTATTTTGATAAATTGCATTCGCTCACCACCCACGGGGATTTTTTAACCTACGACACGAAACACTTCAATGTAACGCCGACGTTTCACGTTTCACTTTAGTTTCATTTTGTAGAAAAATGTGTTTCTAGTCCCGATTCTAGTTAGTTAGTTAGTTATAAAGTATATGCAAGCGACAAGTTACATAAAACACATGTGATATATCTTTAAAAAAACATCTTTTACCGTTCCGTATAACTCGGCCTCGTCTGCCTGCAGCGTTTGCCCCAAATTCCGATAAACTGAATGAGGATTGCGCAACTTGTCAAATCAAACCGCTCGCCGTGACGATGCGGCGATTAGGGGGGGGGGGGTCAACGACCCCAAACTCTTAGCCCCGAGTTTATGAATTGCTGGTGGTGGTGATGATGATGGTGAAGATGGTGGTGGTGATGGTGATGATGGTAATGCTGATGATGGTGGTGATGATGATGGTGAAGATGGTGGTGGTGGTGGTGATGATGATGGTGGTGGTGATGGTGATGATGGTGAAGATGGTGGTGGTGATGGTGATGATGGTAATGCTGATGATGGTGGTGATGATGATGGTGAAGATGGTGGTGGTGGTGATGATGGTGGTGGTGATGGTGATGGTTTTACCAAGATAAGTGCTCAAGATTACACGAAGAGGGACTCCAGATTCGAGTTCCTGCCTGGCTTCACGATCATTTCGTTTCCCGACGCTAAATGTAAGAAGCGTTCCTACTGCAGGAGGAATCCGATTAGCAATAAAGCTCTTTCCCCCCCCACAGATGTCCACCAGGGGCACGGGAGGTCAGAACAATAACACAAAAAATACCACGACAGAGGCGCCAAGTACAGGAAAGGTAAACAAATGCCTTTAAAAAAATATATACAAATCAAACTCAAAATGCTTTCGATATCTTAGCAGGTGAAGCCCGCCGAAGCGACCTGGCCACAAACGACAGCTCGACGCAGTGGCTCATCGTCGCGTGCGTGCTGCTTTTATCGCGGCAAAATCATCCAAATGATCTTCGAGTGCACGACTCCAGGTGTGGAGGGGGCCGGAGGAGCCGGAGAAAAAAAATTCCACGCGACGAAAATTCCCAGTTTGTCTTATCATCCCAATTAGTCTCATGACCACCACCACCCCCCTCTCCCCCAAATAATCTAATATTCAGGAAGGTTTGGTGGTCAAACGTGCCAATTCGTGTAACGGAGTTGTAGTTTTGCATAATAGGCGGAGAGCGCCTGCAGAAATAAACAACCGAAAATGTCGCGCTTCGAAGCACTGTGCTCGTAATGTCTGCGTGATCCACCAACTTTTGCCTTTAAGGGCGCCTTGTTCTTACACTCGGAGCGCGCGCGTGTGTGTGTGTGTCGGTGTGTGTGTGTGTCGGTTGTGGGGAGCGATAGTGTAGTAGTTAGCGCGCTGCGCTATGAACCCGGCGACACGTATTCGATTCCTGCTCACGGTCAACACCAGCGACGATTATCCTGAACCGTTCCTGGGCCTCCCCTAGGTCGACTAAGCCTCAAATGAGTACCTGGTGCGGTGCGTAAAAATATCGCCACTGGGGAGACAAAGGCGGCCGGGCGTGGTCCTGGCCACCGACCCCCTCGTGTGCCGTGCCGGCCTTCATAGGTGCTGCTCGCTAACAGCACTTGCCCCGACAATCTGTTAAGGCTATACGGGGTATCTTTGTCTTTGTGGGGAGCGGTGGTGCAGCGGTGAGCGCCCCGCACTACGAACCCAGCGACCCGAATTCGATTCCCACTCCTCACGGCCAAATACCATGAGGGATATCTGAACCGGTTCTGTGCCTCCCCATATCGATTCCTAAACAACGCCACGGGAGAGACAAAGGCGGCCGGGCGTTGTGCTGACCACCGCCCCCTAGTGTACCGCGCCGGCCTTGAGAAGTGCTCGCAAACAGCACTTGCCCCCCAAAAGTCCACGTGCGTGTTTTAGCGAGCACCTATTCGTGTCGTCACCGAACTGCTTCCGAGTTCCTCTTCAAAGTGAAACTAAAGTAAAACTATAAACCAAGCTATTTGCATCTCAGCGGGTAAAGCCAACCGAGCTCCCTATAGTTCTTTTGCAGAAGCGAGCTGGCCACAACTGATAGCTCTAAGAATCCAGTGACTTATCATCGCGTGGAAATGCACAAGAGCAGCCACATTCTCTCGTGCACGTGATGTTGATTCTAAACGTGGAGGTGAAAAGCCCCTGGAGAAAAATCCACGCGACCACGGAGAGAGAAAGAGAGACACGCAACCTCCAAATATACAGCAGCAGGCGTCACAGGGTCGAGATCGAACTCACGACCTCCTGCGCACCAGGCGAGGGAATTAACATCTCCTAGCCACCGTGACGCCCGATATCGTCACCCGTTACTAACGTGACGTGCGACTGGCACGTGTCACTATAGTGATGTGCGACTATAGGGATGGAACTCGCGACCTCCTGCAGACCAGGCGAGGGAATTCACATCTCGCACGATCCATCAACCACAAGAGGTGACAACGCCACGTGCCCCCCCCCCCCTTGCCCCCCCCCCCCCCCCCCCACAGATGCGCGCGCTACGCGGACGCAGGCTCCACGCGCCCCGTCTCCGCTCCCCGCTCACCGGGACGTCGCTGCTGCCCGCCACCTCCGACGTGTGGGTTGGAACCCGAGGCCGGGCTGCCCGTGGGGTTCCGGCCGGATGGGCGAGAACCGGAGCCGTTTCGGCGGCCCCCGTCGCCGCCGCCGCCGCCGCCGGGAGCCCCGCTGGGAAATCTCCGTCGAACTTCAAAAACCGCTCGGAGCGCGGCTTCTACAAGCAGCACCACCACCACCGTCACGGCGCGGCGCCTCTGACGAGGAGCAGGGGACATCTCAAGGATGGGTGCTTCGGCCTCAAGATTGACCGCATCGGGGCCATGTCCGGACTGGGTTGCAAGCGAGGCAAGAGCCACGGTGAGACACTCCGACAGCCCCCCCCCACCGCCCCCTCGCCCGCCGCGACGCACCAGGCAAATTTTGGCATCTCGTCGAAGGAGCAATTCAAGCAGCCATCGCGCGAACTGCGGTCATCCCCGTAGCGGCAGTAGCAGCAGCGGCAGCGGCGGCGGCAGCGGCGGCAGCAGCAGCGGCAGCAGCTTTTGGCTCAGCCATGGAGCAAAAACGGTGGCCACCGCATCGCGCGGCGCTTTCAGCCGCGCTTTCCGCGGCCGTCTGGAACGCATCTTCCTCCCGATACTGGGAAGCCACTGGAGCTAGGCACTTTGTACATCTGTATTTGAAAAAAACTAATTTCAATCTTGATTTGAAACTTTCGTGACTGCAGGAATCCATGCTCTTTGGTTCTTTTAGTAAAGTCACGTAGGTAGAAAATAAAATAAATCACGACGTTTCGGGCGCAACACAATCGTCCGTCATCAGGTGGGAAAGCGTGGCCTGCTGCTGATTTCCTTAGAACTGCCGTGTGCGTCGTAGTTTGCTGTCCTTCCCCCGCTCCTCCGATGAGCTTGGCTCCGTACGCTGCGAAAGAAGTTCAACATGGATAGGGAATGCGCCTTGTTCGTACGTAGCCAACCGTGCTAATCGGAGGTCGTGGAGGGAACGACAATACACTAAAACACACACAATGCAGTTCGAAAGAAAGTAGTTTTCAAATCTGGATTTAAAAGTGTCTCTGGGAAGTGCCTCCACAAATCCCCCGCTCCATCTCGTCATATCATTTAAAAAAAAGGTTTGCTGGCTGGCTGGTTGACTGCGACAGACAGTCACGCCCAAAGGACGTGTGGATTGCTAGTATATACAGTTACAGTACTGCATATACACGATATATGAGACTTATCTCCCGTGTAGGTTGGGGTAAGTGATGTTGGCGAGCATCTATTAAGTCACGCACGGCACACGAGCCTTTGTCTCCCAAGTGCTGATCTTTTACAGACCACCGCACCAGATGCCTCGGGAGAAACGCAACAACGAAGGGTCGCTGGGTTGGTCGCTGTGAGCGCTAAATCCTTGCCTGTATGCATCCGTGCGTGCAAGCGTGCGACAAACCATTGTCTCGGTGCAAACGGTCACGGCAATAACAGTTTAAACACACACACACACACAAAGATCCCCCGTATAGCCTTAACAGACTGTAGGGGCAAGTGCTGTTAGCGAGCACCTATGAAGGCCGGAACGGTACACGAACGAGGGGGTGGGTGGCCAGCACCACGCCCGACCGCCTTTGTCTCCCCAGTGGCGATGTTTACACACCGCACCAGGTACTCATTTAATGCCGAGTCGACCTAGGGGAGGCCCAGGACCGGTTCAGACAATCGTCACTGGTGTTAGCCGTGAGCGGTAATCGAACCCGGGTCGCCAGGTTCATAGCGCAGCGCGCTAACCGCTACACCACCGCTCCCCGGTGCTAACGGTCACGCAATAACAGTTTAAACACACACACACACAACACTCACAACGCATAATGCGTCTGCTCGCACCAGATTGGAATCCTGTAAAGTCGAGTGCCGCGGGCTATGGCAACCCGTATCGCCACACGGGCGGACCTTGGTAATGACAGCGTACGGTGGTGGAGGAGGAGGAACAGCCGATCAGCAAAAGGCGAAAATAAAGATTCGAATTGCCGGGCAATAAGCGTTATCCTGATAGCCTTTGAGATAGCCACTTTAAGCATCATGCCCGCGTGTGTTATTATAGCGCCGGCATGTGCTCGTGCAGGTAGAATATAGAAATGTTAAATGGAAGAACAGTCGTGCACAGACGCGGGAATGTTCCCTGGCTCCCTATCGCGGCAACAACATCTACTAATAGGGGTTTTCCACTTTTTTCTGGCAACAAAACTGACACCTTTTGCAAGGAATCATGTTTACATTAACCACAATACTTGCAGTCAAATGCAAACAAAAAACGCTGATAATTTATGCATTGTCCTTGAAACTGATTGGTCCACACCATCATCGTCAACAACAACACACATGCATGCGTACAATAATAGAGGGTTATTTTTTGTGTGTGTGTCGTTAAACCCTCCACCACCCGACACAGCCAATTGGTAAGGTTTGTCACGTAAACACAACGTGGTAATTCGTAACTAGATCAGCGATCTTCTTGGTTCTTTCGGTAAAGTCACGTAGAAGGGAAGTAATAAAATAATAAAAATAAAACATAATAAAATAATTCTCACGACGTTTCGGCCACAACGCAAGCAGCCGTCCTCAGGTGAAGAACAGAGCTGTCGGAAAGACGGCGTTGTGGCCGAAACGTCGTGAGAATTGTATTGTTTTATTTTTATTATTTTACTAATTCCCTTCTGCGTGACTTTACCGAAAGAACCAAGACTATGAATCCCTGCAGTCACGAAAGCTTTAAATCCAAATTCAGAGTGTTTGCATGTCCATCACAAACGGTGAATGCAGTGACACGATTCCTTGCAAAAGGTTTCCGTTTTGGTGTTTTAACATCTTGACACCTGCCCGTTTGCAATGCCAGAAAGGGTCAAACCCTATTCCTATAAATTACAATAATGATGAAGTTTCGGAAAGACGGAGAGGGACACCTTAGGCGCAGTGTTCTTCACAACTGTTCACATGTGGAGCCACTGTCGCCGATAAGACATCCTGGTCCGTGTGCGCGACTTCAGCCACAACATCTGAAACCATTGGGGGTTTGTCAGCAGAACGACGACGACGATGATGATGATGGGGTGATGTGAGCGAGAGAGTGAGCGAGAGAATGAGCGAGAGAATTGCGTGTCATCCTTGCGCAGGGGCCATGCTAATCTTCTCTGTATCGTTCCAATTTTAGTATATGTACTGCCGGAGCAAGTACAGAGAGAGCGAGAGATGGGGGTTTACATAAAGCAAAGTTATTTGAAAAAAATACGAAATGATGAACGAAGCAAAGTGCCGACTACACCGAGCATCTTCTTGTTTCCACTGATCGTAAAAAACAAAAGAGAGGGGTTGATGTTGTCACTCGTGGGCCTTGCAACCGAGGCGTGTGCTGGGGGCCGAGGTGGACAGCGTTGACGGTGTGACCGCTCTCTCTTCTCCTTGTCTCCCCGGCCCCGCGTGGCGACTCAAGGCTGATGGAGTTGACCGATGGCGCCTGCACGCGGCAATGGCGACGAGCTGCAGCTAAACGAGTCACGTGCGACTCGTCCTCAGTACACACACAGTACACTCACAGTACACATACACAGTACACTCGCACACTCACACAGTACACACACAGTACATACAGCACACACTCACAGTACACACACTCACACACAGTACACACACACACACTCACAGTACACACACACACAGCACACATACTCACAGTACACACACAGTACACAAACTCAGTGCGCATGCTAGACAGGGTACACAAGCACGCGTTGTCAGTGTAGTTCACGCACACGGCACGCACCCGCAGTGCACACACTCTACACTGACAGTACACACACAGTACACACACAACACGCAACACAGTAAACGCTCGCGCAGAACGCACGCAGTAACACCACACGTGCAGTGTCACTACACGTGCAGAGTACACGTGCAGTCACACCACACGTGCGTGCACGGCCTCACGCGCGCACACAGCACAAAGGCTCACTTTAGGGGGTTCGCGTTCCCCCCCCCGACCCCCCCGGGGGGTGGGACAGGTCAAGGTGGTGGCCGGCTTCACGGCTTCCTGCAATCAGCCGCGCTTTAATTAACTCCCGAATCGCAACTCGAGGGGAAGGTGTGGGGAGTGTGTGGGGGGGGGGGGGTAGCCAACACACGCGCGCACACACAACGCTTTGAACGATGGTTCGCGGGTGAGCGTAAGAATCGATTTTTAAAAAAAAATTGGTAATTCGTCGAATTAATCAATGAATGTAATGGCTCGAATTTGGACCGTGGATTTGGTTTCTTTTTTTGTTTTACTGAAAGGGAATTGCGCGCGAAGGTGACGTACAAAACGTGGCCTGCAGGAAAGAAACACACGGACCGTTTACAAAGGAGCGAGAGATTACGAAACGATACCCGACAAAACAATACAAATGAGAGAGTTGACAAGAGGAAGCGGGGCATTTAACAATCCCGGTGACGGGTTTGTTGCAGGAGGTCGTGGGTTCGATCCCAACCCTGACGCCTGCTGCTGATGCTGCTGCTGTATATTTGGAGTTTGCGGTGTCTCTCTCTCTCCTCGTGGTCGCGTGGATTTTTCTCTGGGTCCTCCCAAGTTTTTCTCTTCACATTTTAGAATCAACATCGCCACGCGTTAAATTTCGATTTAAAGCTTTCGTGACTGCAGGGATTCATCGTCTTGGTTCTTTCGGTAAAGTCACGTAGAAGGGAAGTAATACAATAATAAAAATAAAACATTTATTATGTTTTATTGTTATTATTTTATTATCGGTAAAGTCACTTTACCGAAAGAACCAAGAAGATGAATCCCACGCGTTTACAATATTTGGCTGCTGCTGCTGCTAGAAATGTCCACGTGGTGAGCCACTTTGTTGAGCTGTCATTTGTGGCAAGGTCGCTTCTGAAGAAGAGCCACAGAGCTCAGGTGGGCCTTAGGGCCCGTCCATAAATGACGTCACGCACCTGGGGGGGTGTGGGGGGTCAGACATTTGTGACTATGTGTGACGAGGGGGGGGGGGGGGTTGAGAGATGTGACGTCACGTTAAAATGCGCAACTTTAAATAAATATAGACATGTTCCACTTAATTAAATAGACTTTTTAATACTTGTTTCTCCTGTCACATTAAATACGCACTATTTAATGTGACGATTTGAAGCACGTTTTATTTTGAAAATGGAAATATGGTTTTGGGGGGGGGGGGGCAGAGTTTTGTGACGTCATATCCGAGGGGGGGTCTGACTTTGTGACGCCGTGTGACGAGGGGGGGGGGGGGTAAAAAAATCGTCCAAAATCGCGTGACGTCATTTATGGACGGCCCCTTACCTTGTAAACACGAAAATTGCGAATAGTCGCTTAATATAACGCAACCAAATCGATTCGTGAATCAAAATCTGACGCGCAGAGACGTGAAACGAGTTTCGACCAATTTTATTTAAACGATACAAAACGAGCGCGGTGGAAACGAGAGAGACAGAGAGATCCATAATGTGGTCCACTTTGAATCTAACCGCGACACCAACTCGAAGCGATGGCCCACGGAATCCGTGGGAAGTCGTCGTGGGTCAAGTACGTACGTTAGTGTAACTTCTTTCGCGCCGTACGTGCGGGGGAGTTCAACACAAAAAAGCGATTCCACTCACCGTCCGTGGAATCGTCGCTTGCCGAGTAGATAATGGGGTGTTCATTGGCCTCCTCAATGTAGCTGGCGTCGAATGGTCCGTGATGCAGTCCGGTTAGGTCAGCCGAAGAGAGATTTTGGTCGAATCCGAAGCAATTGCAGCCAGCCAACCAATTCACGATCAGCCAGCCACGATTATTAATCAGCCAACCGATGAACAATCGGCCAATTCAATTACCGATCGGCCAATTAACACTGAGCCAGCCACGATGATCAATCAGTGAAGTCACGATTAACTACGGCCAATTCAATTACCGATCGTCCAATTAACACTGAGCCAGCCACGATTATCAATCAGTGAAGTCACGATTAACAATCGACCAATTCAATTACCGCACGGCCAATTAACACTGAGCCAGCCACGATGATCAATCAGAAAATTCACGATTAACAATCAGCCAGTCACAATAAACAATCGGCCAGCCGAATTCACTACCGCATCCTCTCACACTGAATATCGATGCAAGGTCCCATGTTACCACTGTATTTATATAACGTGATGTATGTGTAATATTGAGCTACGAGAGCTGTAAGTCTGTGTTATTTATGTCGATGTTACGATCTTGTTGTTGTTGTTGTCGTGTCGCACTAATCTATCGCGTTATTCAGGTCGCGTTATATTTTAACTTGAACGACGAACTACGCCCTGATTGGTCACCCCCCGCCGTTCCCCCCACCGGTACGAAACAGCCAATCGCATGCTAGCGTGCTCAAGCACGTGGTTGTCCTGTGGCCAATGGTTGGTACTGTCGTTTTGCGACACGTGGTGTGCGGGAAGGGAGGGGGCGGCGTCGTTTGTTTGACGCCTGATTGGTCGGCAGTGCCGGCACGCGGTGGCAAATCGGTGCCCTGTGATTGGCCGGGCATTGTGGGGCGCATTGTTTACGGTGAATCGATGTTTCTCCCGGTGACGTTGGGGTCGTGTTAATAAAGGTACCGGTGCAACCGAACACGTGGCTTTCGAAAAGAGTGTCTTTATTTGAATGAAAACAAATATTTATGATCTATAGGACCCTGTTTGCTAGTATCAAAATCATAAAAAAGCAAGAATAGGCTTTATCCCTTTCTGTCATTAAAACAGATGTTAAGATCTTCTTGGTTCTTTCGCTAAAGTCACGTAGAAGGGAAATAATAAAATAATAAAAATTTAACATAATTAAATACAATTCTCACGACGTTTCGGCCACAACCCAAGCAGCCGTCCACAGGTGAAGAACAGGTCTGTCGGAAAAACAGCGTCTGAATGATTCATTCACCTGAGGACGGCTGCTTGCGTTGTGGCCGAAACGTCGTGAGAATTCTATCTTATTATGTTATATTTTTATTATTGTATTATTTCCCTTCTACGTGACTTTACCGAAAGAACCAAGAATATGAATTCCTGCAGTCACAAAAGCTTTAAATCGAGGTGTCAAGATGTTCAAACACCAAACGGATACCTATCGCGAAGCATCGAGTCTGCATTAATCACACGTTACTTGTGGCAAGACATGCCAACAAACATGCTCTGATAATTATTCTATCCGCATTGTCTTTGGAACTGATTGGCCTACAGCTGCAGGGACAGCCTTCCATATGGCATCGTCTCACCGCCAGTGTTAGACCAGAGAACGCCAAAAGACGACCAGCGCAAGGGCAATGGCACGATCGAAGTGGTTGATAGAAGTTATAAATCTACCAGATACATCTTCTTGGTTCTTTCGGTAAAGTCACGTAGAAGGGAAGTAATAAAATAATAAAAATAAAACATAATAAAATAATTCTCACGACGTTTCGGCCACAGAGACTCTGTCTTATCGACAGACCTGTTCTTCACCTGAGGACGGCTGCTTGCGTTGTGGCCAAAACGTCGTGAGAATTATTTTATTATGTTTTATTTTTATTATTTTATTACTTCCCTTCTACGTGACTTTACCAAAAGAACCAAGAAGATGAATCCCTGCAGTCACGAAAGCTTTAAATCAAAATCTACCAGATAGTTTTTGCCAGTATGATACTGGTGAAAACTAAGAATAGGTTGTACCCTTTCTGGCGATAGAACGGCGTGTTAAGATGTTCAGACATCCAAGTGGATACCTATAGCAGGACAGAACCTCTGCATTGACGTACAGTGAGGTAAACAAGTATTTGATCCCCTGCTGATTTTGTACGTTTGCCCACTGACAAAGAAATGATCAGTCTATAATTTTAATGGTAGGTTCATTTGAACAGTGAGAGACAGAATAACAACAACAAAATCCAGAAAAACGCATGTCAAAAATGTTATAAATTGATTTGCATTTTAATGAGGGAAATAAGTATTTGACCCCCTTGCAAAACCTACCATGTAATTTATAGACTGATCATTTATTTGTCAGTGGGCAAACGTACAAAATCAGCAGGGGATCAAATACTTTTAAAAATCCTTTATATTAAGTTCGCTTGCTTGCTTAGGACCGTGCAAATCTTTCGGTCGTTTTTTAACTCACTTCCCGTGATCCAATCGAGCTGACATTTTCCACACAGACTCGTTGTGCGTGACAATTAATGTTCGTGAAAATTTGTTTCCAAAATTGTACACTTTTTGGACAAAAATATTATATTTAATTACCAATTGCTTAATGGTGCAATGCAATCATCTGACCCATATGTGGCAGCCATCTCAAGCCAGAGGACGAGAGGACTCTAGCCGCCACGCATATAAAGGATTTATAGTGAAAAACTTTGTTTTTACGGGTTATACTTATTCCCTCACTGTACATATAACTGCTCAACCCGAGCTGCTGATGCTTTGATACTTGCGTTTGCCTTTGACGCTATTCGCCTTTTGGCGTCGTTCTTTGGTCCCACGGCTGTGGTGAGACGTGAGCCATAGAGGCGATGGTGGTGATGGTGGTGGTGCTCATGTTGATGGTTGCGGTGGTGGCAATGGCGGAGCCAAAATTATCAGGTAGGGGGGGGAAACCCCTCCAGCAATGAAACATGATAGAGGAGTTGTTAGTAAGTAAGGAGTTGTTAGTAGGGTAAAGAGTTGTTAGTAAGTAAGGAGTTGTTAGTAAGTAAGGAGTTGTTAGTAAGGAGTGGTTAGTGAGTAAGGACTTGTTAGTGAGTAAGGAGTTGTTAGTAGTAAGGAGTTTAACACGTAGGCTTTCGCGACCAATGTTATTCATAATCAACGTTTTTGGGTTTAGATCGCGTTTATTTATAAATGTGTCGTAACCCTCCACCACCCGACACGGCCAATCAGTAAAAATGTGTCACGTTGACAAAGACAAATAGTTCACTGCTTTAGCCCACCGGTGTGTTGAAGCCACAACATTTACAATTTGAGTACGACGTTTCGCTGGTAATTGCATCCAGCATCATCGGGCAATTCGCCATTCTGGCCATTCTGGCGAATTGCCCGATGATGCTGGATGCAATTACCAGCGAAACGTCGTACTCAAATTGTAAATGTTGTGGCTTCAACACACCGGTGGGCTAAAGCAGTGAACTATTTGTCTTTGTCAACGTGACACATTTTTACTGATTGGCCGTGTCGGGTGGTGGAGGGTTACGACACATTTATAAATAAACGCGATCTAAACCCAAAAACGTTGATTATGAAGTAAGGAGTTGTTAGTGAGGACTTGTTAGTGAGTAAGTAAGGACTTGTTAGTGAGTAAGGAGCTGTTAGTAAGGAGTGGTCAGTAAGTAAGGAGTTGTTAGTGAGTAAGGAGTTGTTAGCAAGTAAGGAGTTGTTAGTAAGTAAGGAGTTGTTAGCGAGTAAGGAGTTGTTAGTAAGTAAGGAGTTGTTAGCGAGTAAGGAGTTGTTAGTAAGTAAGGAGTTGTTAGTAAGTAAGGAGTTGTTAGTAAGTAAGGAGTTGTTAGTAAGTAAGGAGTTGTTAGCAAGTAATGAGTTGTTAGTAAGTAAGGAGTTGTTAGTAAGTAAGGAGTTGTTAGCGAGTAATGAGTTGTTAGTAAGTAAGGAGTTGTTAGTAAGTAAGGAGTTGTTAGTACGTGAGGACTTGTCCCTTGCTTTGTATTCGACGCGTGTGTGGCGATGACGCAGCCATCGATCGAGGGTCGAATTCGAACCGCGTTGTGTGATCGGCATCGCGCTCGCTGAAGCTGTCGATGCCTTCAGGGAAGTCGTGTACTGCATACGCAACTGTGCACAATTCTGAGTCACTTATAACCGCTTTGCCGTTACTTATTGGCAATTATAGACTCAGACTATTGTCCTATCATCTCATAGAGTCCCTGGCACGTCAGTGGGGGTCGCAAAATGCCGATGTATTACTAATAAACCCCAAT